ATTTTATCCTGCCTTGACTTAAACTCATGAAAGTATCTTAAATCGATTTTTCGGAAATACTGAAAAATGTTTTTTTGGCTTATAAAAAAAATTTAAAACATATATTATTGTTTTGCTCTATTTAGAATTTATAACAAGAGACCAGTACATCTGGCTAAGGATTAGAAAAACAGAACTTAAAAATGTCAATCCCAAGAGATTTAGATTTTCGGGGTTAGCGTCTTGATTGCGGTGCCTGCATTAGGATCTAAGGATCTTAATGACTATATCATCATTATCATTATAATTAAAATATCCAAAATTTTTTAAATTTATTTCATATCTGATAATTTGCTGTGCACTTGTTTCGTTTTGGTTGGATCTCCCTTTCGTTGATTTTTCGTGTGCATTCAGCAAAAATTGTTTTCGGCTGCTTCGGTTGTTGTTCTTTTTGCATCTATTTGGTTGTTTTGTTTTGCTACGTTGTTTTTTTTTATGCCCAGGTTGTTTTTTTGCGTTTCTTTTTTTTCTGCTTTTACCGCTGTAAATTTGCAAAAGTACAGCTGTTAACAATAACAATGACATATAAACACTCCCGCAGCGGGTAACAAAAATGCCAACGCAGCGCAGCTATGCGCAAAAAAAGCATAAAACAAAAAATTCCAAAAATGGAAAACCGAAAAAAGTCAAGCAGAAATCAAACAACAAGCGAATGCAAGAAAATTAATTAATTAAGCATTTTTTGTTTTATAGTTGACCGAACCATCGTCGGCAACACGTGAGTTTTCTGTGGGTGCTTTGAGGCACAAATATGTATGTGTGTGCTTATGTTGTAGCCTCAGTTCTTGGCTTCACCTTTTGTTTTTTTTATTGTTTTTTAACGGTTGTGTGTTTTGCCATAGTTGTTGCTTATCTGGAATATGTCGAATATTTCATTGCACTTTTTCATGGCTGTCGTAGCAGCCGAAATGCCTTGAAATGTAATTGAAAAGTGTACAAAACAAAGCTTAAGCTGGCTGGGTGTGTGGGTGTATGTAATATATCAGTATCAGTGCTTAAATATATTTTAAAAATAGGGAAAGAAAGTCAAGATCATAACCTCTAGATTTCGTTTTTATTGTGTAATGAAGATGATTTTTAGTTTAAATTAAATAGAGGTGTATAAATTCTTGTTTAAAGATCGCTTTTTATTCAAAACCTTTTTTTTTATATTTTTTATTTTTTAATAAAGAAATTGTTCAAAAATAGTAAAAAAAAAAATACACATAAGACCTTCTTTTTATTTTTTATTTTAAGTTTGACACACTTTTTTTTTTTGCTTTTTTCTAATTATAAGGTAATAATGTGTAATAAAATGTTTCCCAAACTAACACCTGTACAATAATTACTTAGTATTTCTTTTTTTTTTTTGGTTTTTAGTTATTAGTTTTACTGCAAATGTTGGCGATTTAGGCATTTTAAATGTTAGCAAATGGGCAATATAACTTTCAAACGTTGTAAGGAATTTGTTTGCATAATACAAAGTTTGTACTTTTAAATTTAACAATATATAAATTACAAAATATTTCCCTATATCCCTACAGAAGTTACTACGGGCTTAAAATCCCTTAAAAGGATATCTTAAAGTATGCAAAACATTTTTTAGTTATCAAACTCTTTTCTAATCTTTTTTTTAAGCATATACATATAAACATTGAAATTACTTTAATTTTTTCTTAATTATTTTCGCTTTATTTTTGTCAACAGATAAAAATGATGTAACAAAATTGTAATTGCAACATTTTCATAGAATTTGAATGCAAATGCTTACACAGACTTCTGTGAAATGGCAGTCAGAATGCGGCCGGATATAAAATGCAGGCAGAAGGGAATGCTCCTGGGGGCGTTGTGGGGTTAAAGGCAAACGAAGTCGACAAGGCCAGGAATAACAACAACAAGAGGCGACCCAACAACTGAATGAAATACAATAAAATTTTAAAACAAACAAATGCAAACACATAGACAGAGGCAAACATACACAAATATATACAAACACACACACAAACACAACAAGGAGCCAATGCGAATGCGACTAATGAGCACTGAAACAACAACAAAGAAGCTGAACCAGAAGAAGAAGCAGTGGCGGTGTCGAGGGGGTGGTTGGGGCTTGAACGGGGGGTTTGACTGACAGCCACCTAACCATGGTCCAATCCCCTTTCCGCCCTACTGAAATAAACAAACAAGAACTAAAACCAAGTAAGAAACAATCAAATTTTATTGATGGAATTATAAATACTTTGTAATCAATATTTGTCATATTTTTTTATAAGTTTAAGTTACCTTCATCAACAGAAAAGAAACATTTTCTTATAAAATTTTTATTTATTTTTCCCTACAATATATTTATTAATAAAGGGTAATTATAAAAGTATATATTTCCTATATAATTAATTTATAATAATTAGATAAAATTTGTAAATCTATATATTTTATATCATACCGTAAAAAAAGTTCCGATTACAGGGTATCAAAACAACAACGGCAAGGACAAGGAACCGTTTGCGTTGTATAGTAAAATGCTTATTTACGCATACAATTGCACGTGAGCAGAGCGGGACAGTGAGTGAAAGAGAGAGTGAGATAGAGAAGGACTAGGAAGGGCGAGCATGATGGGTATGAGTGAGACGGACAGGGCCCCGCGGGTGACAAAGGTGGGAGGGAAGTAGGGGGAGGGGGTTCTACTGAAAATAGGAAGTTTTGTTTGCAGTGCGCACAGCAACGGAGAGACAAACACAACTGTAACTGTAATTGTGTGTTTGTTTGCTCGAAACTTCCCCCTCCGCCACCCAAAAAACCACCCACAGATGTCTGGCTTCTGTTTTCTATGCCTCCCTCCCTCCACGCACCATCACCATTCTTTCGGCCAAATAAAAAGTTTGTTGAGAACATTTGCAAATGTTTGTTTTAGAAAACGGAAAATGCTTCGTTTGTTTCATCATTATGAGCATTGGAATTAACATCATCGTCGTCATTGTAAGTTGTATTTGTCTTTGTTTTTGTTAATGTTTTTGGGCTTTCTTACTTTGGCTTCCTTCGTTTTCCCCAAATCCTAGCTTTTCTACTCCATAATACTCTTTTCTTTGATTAATTTAATGTTTAATTTTTTAAATATTTTTAATTGTAATATTTTTAAGGAATTAAAGTTTTTTAAATTAAAAAAATATATATTTAAAATGTTTTTTTAGGTTTTAAATAATAATAAATAAACTTTTAAATTTTCAATCAATTGTAAAACCCTGCAATTCTCAACTGAGACGAGGTTTAAGGTGAAAAAACATTGTTTTTTTTTTTAAATATATAATAGATTTAATATACGTATTTAAAAATGTATTATAATTTAATAATTTCTGTTCAAAATATATTAAAAAAGGCATTTTTATTTAATTAATGTATATATAAAAAATACATCTAGCATTTTTTAGACTAGTTTAAATTGAGTTAAACTATCTTTAAAAATAAATGATAGTTGTAAAAACGATTTTAAAAATCTTTTAATATTAGTTGTCTTAAAATTAAATAATAATAGTTTAAAAATAAAATACATATAGTTTATATAAATTTCTCCTCAAAAAAGGGCAATCCCCATGTCCCCATTCCTTGATTTATAAATTCTTGTTTGGTTTGGTTCCTTGTTTGCTTCATCGTCATCGTTTATTCGTATTCGTCGTCGCTACTTTTGCGTAGTTTTGTTTATTTTATTTGTTTTGTTTTGTCTTGTTTTATTTTTGTTTGATTTACGTTTGGCCATGCCCAAGTTACACTGTGAGTAAATTTGTTTTAAAAGCTAATCTTTATAAAAATAAAATAGGTTTAAGATAAGTAAAGATTTGTAATACTTTAATGTTATTTTATAATTATAATTATATTTATATTTATTATTTTTTAAATTAAACAATAATAATAGAAAAAAGAAAGAATTTATTTTTAAGGCTTAAATTTTAAGATCATTCTGATTTAAAGTTCTCAATAATATTTTCAATAAAATAATAAATTAAAACTTGGAACAACAATGATGTTAAATGAATTAATCAATTATTAATATAACGTTTAAAAAATATATATGCCCAACTTAAGTTGGCATTAAAAAATGAAAGTTTCCTCATAAGAATTTTTAGTAGTCATCGAAATTATTTGTAAAATAATTTTTTATTTTTTCCAGTGATCCTATGCAATTGCTCGCCAAACACCCAACCCCCTGGATAAGCGTGGGGGGTAACAAGGAGGACCACCCCACCCCCAAACCGCCCCCAAAAACGTCCACCTCAAATTGTTGGCCTGTCGCCGTGTTTTGTTTTACTTGTGCTTCTTCTTCTATTATTTGGCTTTAGGGGGGGGCGGTGGCGAGTTTGCTGTTGTTCCCATCGCTCTGCTTTTTCTGCTTCTTCTCTTATTTAATTTTGTTTTATTTTATTTTTACGTTTTTTTTTTCCATCCTGTTTTGTTGTATTTTGTGTAGGTGTATTGACTTAAAGTTTGTTATACTTCTTTGCCTTTTGTCTTTCAGTTTTGGTTCCAGGTTCAATTTCTTCTTTTTATTTCGTTCCTCCGCTTCTTGTTCTTCGTTCTGTTCGTGGTCTTGGCCTTGTTATTGTTGTTTTTGGTAGAAGGAAACGCCTTCGAAACATTTCTGCGGTTGTCCTTCGGGAGGCTTGGCTTGAAGAATTTTCCTCAAGTTTGTTCTGGGTGGTTTTTCTTTCTAATATTGTTTTTCAGGGTTTACTCTATGTCCATATAGTCAAAAATTCATAAAGAAAATTCCTTTCTTTGTTCATTCTACAAATTCTGTAATATAATAATACTATTTAGTTATCGTGGTGTATTAAACAATATTTAAAGCGTTTGTTATCCACTTTCTTTTAATTAACAGTTTTAATAAAAATATTCTTATTTATTAATTAAACACAATTTTCTTTAAATTTTTTAATAAAAATCAATCTTTATAAATCGTGTGATCTTTTCAAATTATTTCATTTTCCTTTCCTTTCAAACATTTCTAAGCCTTTAAAAAATTCCTGTTTGGAAATGCTGTTTTTTAAATTTTTTGTAAAATAATAAATTTTAAGTCAATAAGGAAAACATTTACCGCTGACCAAAATGAATAAACTGAACAAGGAGTGGTCGCGAGCAGTGCCCTTTAAGCCCAAGGATAATCTTACAACCGAGGCGAAAAATAGAGCTGCCAAGTTTGTGTCATCTATTGAAACGGATGTAAGCTTATATGGTGATTTTTGTAGACAAATAGGATATAGTTATTTATCTTGTTCATAAGTTTTAATTTGTTGTTAATTTACTAGGTACTGGATTTTATTATTTCTTAAATATACAAATTTAGACAAATTTTTCAAAGTAATTAGCAAAATCGTAACCATTTTGTATGGAAGCCATGCTTCTTTTAATGGCTACGTTAAGGCAGCCATATTCTGTAAACGCCATCTTTCTTTTAATGGCTACCTTAAGACAGCCATTTCCTGTGGTTGCCCTATAAAGTAGGCAACAATTTTTAGCGAAATCCCTTGAGTACTAGGTTTTAATGAACACATTTCTGTTATTTTTTTTTAATAGTGCGTTCCTGTATCAATGGCATGTCTGATTGGCTGGGAGTACGCTCGGATTTGGCTGCGAGATCGTGACAATTTTGTAAAGAAACGCAATAAGGCTGTGAAGGCAAAATTTATTAAAAATGACTTTGAATCATGGCTGAACAAGCGTAAAACCCCAAAACGAAACCAAAAATTTTGACGAAGCGGAAATTATTATTTTTTTTTTTTCAATTAAAAATGTATAACATTGTAATTTAAACTATAAAAAGAGACTTGAATAAAAATTAAATGCGAAAGTAAAGGAATAGTTAAGACACAAACCATTTTATTTTCCCTAAAAGAGCTTTTGGGTAAGTAATGTCAAATGTATGCAAGAAAACTGAAACACTGTACAAGAAATGTAAAAATTAATTTTTTATATATTATTATTTATAAAAAATGAAACTTGATTATTAATGACAGTTTCTAAAAAACGTTCTTTAAAATTTGGTGTCTTAGTTAGGAATACAAATAATGGTTAACATAAATAAAAAATATATAAAAATATTTTTTTATTCTAATATTTTTGTTACATCAAAATAAATTATTAAGTCAGAAAATATTTATATTTTCTCCCTAATTTCCTTGTGGTCTCAAACAGCTGTTTGCTGGCAAAATCAACATCTCACTCACTTTGAGCCTATTTGGAGACCAACCTTTACTTACAGGTTGCTGTCACTCAAAACACACTCTTTCGTGTTGCTACTCTTTAGCTCAATCAGGCTACCTTTGCTCTCTCATAGCCGTTCTTGTAAGTTAGAGCAGGGCAGAGAATAGGGACTCAAGCAGGGACTTTTTGTAAACATGTATATTACTTTTATTTTACATGACCAGCGGATGTGATTACAAATTTTATTGATGGCTTACCTTTATTTTTGTTTATTTAAACTTTTTTTTTTTTTAATGTATAAAAACGTTCCATGTTTATATATAAGTATTTGATAATTTATCTGTATAGTTTATTGCAAAAAATAAACTCTTCCCTTTTGTAATGATTTTCGGTTATTAAAAAGACAAAACAATTTACATTGCTTTACGTATAACATTAGCCTGGACTCAAACCGCATAAACACTCAATTTCATGATAATTCTGCCGGTAATGGCAGGGTTAGTGGCAGCGACGTTGACACCCACGCAACGTGACAATTCCCAAGAAAAAGAGAGCTAGAAAAAGCAACAGCTTTTAGAGGCACTCAATTCGGGGTCAGCTCTCTTTTCTCCCACCCCCACTCTTTTAGGCCAGCAGAAAAGTTAGCCGTTAATAACAATAATATTAATAATAGATATAAATCAAAATAATTCAATGTTTACGAACAATTAATAATGACAAATATCAAACAAGAAATAAATTTTAATATGAACATATTTTATCTAAAAATGTATTCAAAAATATTCCTAAACACCTGATTAAAGGCATAGTAACAGCACCTTTACATTGCCTGTAACACGGTTACATTTAGTAAACAGCCAGCACGAAAGAGAGGGCGGGCAGCACTCAAGAGCATTGCAGTGTCGCGCAAAGAGCTTGCGAGGGTGTGGGAGGTGGGGAGAAAAGGAAAATCGTCGTTCAACTCACTCAAACCGAAAGAGAATCTCTATATAGCGGGAAGTTCTCTGATTCGCATCGAATATGTTTTTCGCAGCGCGCGCGTTCGCATCGGAAAATCAGAAAGGCTGGCGTAGCATTTTTGAAAAATACAAACACCAAGATTCGGCAGTGCAATTCTTCAGCGCTTTTCCTGCTCTGCAAGAAACGTCGTCATTAGCCGTTATTTCGTTACATTTCGCTATTTCGTTACAACGTAACATAAACTTGTTACGCATATTACAGTAAAAATTGCAACAAGAAAACCAACAAAAAATCAAAACAATAACAAATACAACAAAATTGGCTGCTTTTCGTGTTTTTTCGCGTACGTGTGTGTGAGTGTGTGTTTAATTGTGTGTTAGGGTGAGAGTGCAGCCAAAAAATAAATGCAAAAAGCAACAAATAAATAAATAGAAAACAAAAAGGGAAAAAAGAAACCAAAAGCAAAAGCAAAAATACGTGTGTGCAAGGTGCAAGTGTATGTGTGTGTGCGTGTTAGCATATGTTGGTCGATTTTGCACCAAAATTGCAATAATTTTAATGTTTTTAAGGTGAGTTTGACCTAATGGTTGTTTTAACAATTCAAATTGAATGTTTTCCCATTGGGAAATTAGAGAAAACGGTTACAATATGTTGGCAAAACCCACAAACACAACGCAAAAGGCGGCTAACTGTTGTCGGTGTGTATGTAAGTGAATTGGCAATATCGCGGTCGTGTGTGTTATATGTGTGTGTGTGTGCTTGTGTTTGTTGCTTTTGTGGCAACCAAAAACGTTGCAACTTGCAAGCAACAATAATAATGATGGCAAAACAAGTGCAGTCAGCAAAACCAACTCAACCAGTGCTTGCCTCTGTGGTGGCTCTCTCCCGCTCTTTCCATGCCTCTTGCTTTCGCCATCGCGCTCTCCCTCTCTCATTCTCTGACATCGTCCGACCCCCTCTCTCTTGCACCCATTGACGCAACTGCATGGTCAGGGCTTCTTTTACTGTTACTGCGTTTATGCGGTGGCCCTCGTTCGGGAAAATATTAATAATTAAAATAAATAACTTATTTATTATTTATTATTATAAAACTTATTTATCTGACATGATCCAATTTCCCCAAACGTTGCAAAAATAAAACTTTATAACCATTTTAAAATTTGTTTTAAAAGTTATTATTGGTATTTATTATAATTTATGCGAAATACAGCAAATAATTTAAAATATATTTTTTTGACAAATATTTACTTAAAATTTGCATTAATCGTTTGATTTATTGATTTTCGGTAAGATTGACCAATGTAATTTCTAGTTATTTACGAATAATTAAATTTTTTTTTATGGTTTATAATAATATCCAATGAACAACCCATTATATTCGTCAAATGAGAATAACATTAAAAAATCGTAAAAATATGTGCATAAACATTTTACTTTAGTGCTTTTGTTTTTTATTGCTTTATTTTGGCTTCTCGCTTGCTTTGCTTTTCTCATTTCGCATTCCGCTGCTCTCTTTGCACCAAACAAAGCTTAGTCGCCACTTGTCGCGCCTTTTGAATATCTTACCTCCCTCGTACCACCACTTTCCACCACCCAACGCCCACCGTGTGCCTCCCTGACCTCCACCTCTCTCTGACCATTGTCCTGCTGCACTTCCACTATCTGCGTTTTATATCTTTTGGTGCACACAAAAAAAAACTAAAGTATAAAAATTAAAAAAAAAATTTAAATGATTTCCAAAAGGTTTTCTAAAAATAAGAAATTATTTACAATAGATATTTGTGTAGCTTTCTATAAGAACAAATGTTTAATACCTCGACGCCAAAATGTAGGCAATGTTTTTTTGACAGGATACACGATATTACAAATGTTTTTTACTGAGCGGATGATTTTTATTGAAAATAATATTTAATTGCAATAACTAGTGCCTGCTAAAAAATATTTTAATAGTCCCGAAAAAATGATTTTTTTTTGCATTTTTTAACTTCTAAGTCGATAGATTTAAATCTCTTATTATGAAATTTTGTAGAAAAATATATTCTCAATATCTTAAAGTAATTTTCATCTATCTTCTTTTATATATATTTTTTTTGCAAGTGTAATCTCTCTTGCCTTTCCACCCCGAGGCGCTTCTCATTCGAAGCTTTTTTGCGAGTTTCGTTCGATTTCCATTTGCCTTTAATTGCATTTATGCATTTTTAATCGAGTTTGACTTTGGTAAGCTTTTTACTTTGGCATATGCTAGTTCGGTGTCTCGAAAACAGAGAGAAAGAGAATTAGAAAGAGAGAGAAACGTGCGGGGAAATGGGCTCTTACAGATCCCGAGATAAGTCTCAGTTTCGCCCCCATTTTGGCCAAAGTTTTCTAATTGGCCTTGACGCCATTTTCGGGTTTCAGCGTTACACTAACGGCAAAAGTGCGAAAATTTTCTGCGTCTTAAATGAGATAATTTATTTGCAATTATAATTTGGTTCATTAAAGTTAATTCAATTAAGGGGTGGCGGAAAGCAATGAAAACGGATGGTCTCAAGGTATGAGAATGACAAGATAAAAGGACTGAAATTAGCGAGAAAGTAAGAATATTTTTCTATTACATTAGAAATTTACAAAGTTGAGTTTAAGAGGTTTTCTGTTCCTTGAAATGGTGTTCCTTTTAGTGTGAAATATCATATTTTTTAAACATTTTAATTGTTTAGAAAACTTTTATAGGAAAACTACATGAAAAGGTTAAAATTTTATAAAATCCTGTAAAATTCTGTTATTGATGTTAGCAAACAATTAAAACATACTTTTATTAAACCAATATTTTTAAATATGCTCCATTTTCGCTAGAGGCAAAACTTTCCTTGTTTTTTTTATCCTTCCTTTCGCCAACATTAACCCAACAGCTGTTGCATCCTAAACAAACATTTTTGCCATACAACTTGGCCCACTTGAAAGCTCAATCAGAGCCATAGTGTCCCTTATATATATATGTACTTTATATGTATGGTATGTACAGCCTTGTTGCCTCCCCAACTTCTCCATCTCACCCCCACAAAGTTTTGCAACTTAACATATGTTTATCTGCTAATCATGGAAATGCGATGCGGTGTTGCAAAATATTTAACTAGAAAACCTCAAATGAAAAAAAAAAAATGAAATAAACGAAACAGCTTTTCCGCTGAACAACAACACGGCAAAACACACTCGCTCCACATTTCTCCACGAAGTACCATATGCCAAAAAGCTAAACCAAAAATCGCACACACATAGTCGGGGATACAAACAAAAAAACGAACAAAAAATAAGCAGGCTGCTTTGACATTTCGTTGTCTGGCCACGCGCGCATCTCGGAACAAGGTCCCTTATAAGGGATATTTTATCATTAGGGTGGCTCAGGTTTTCAGGAATTTTTATTATTTTATTAGATTAATTTTTTATTATGTTTTCGGTGTTTTTCAGATTACAAATAAATCCTTTAAAATATTTTATTGATGTTTATATTGAACATTTGGTTTGCAAAGAAGAAGATTATAAAGTAAAGATTAGAGAATTAAAAGAAAAAAAATGTATACACAACATTAAAAATGCAAAATAAATTTTTTTAAAATCCTAAAATTTCATCAATCTAAATATTAAATAAACATTGCTCGTTTTAAGAACCAAAATAATTGAAAATATTTATTATTTAAGATTTGATATGTATTTATTGAGTAGTTTATATACATTTAAGTCTTTTCCCTTTATTATATTGGAGCCCAACGAGTAATCTGGTTGAGTCACCCTTCTGAAAGCCCACATTCAGTCGCACATTTTGTACATCTGCACATCCCCACGCACAAATAATTCGCTGTTCGCTATGTATGCCAGTATGCCGAAAAAAGGGCAAGACATAACTTCACCCGCTTTGTCGCTGCCCACGCTTCAAAGCCCCCAAAAACCAGCTACCCATGAAGCCGCCCAACCACCCTCTAAATCGGCCATACCACCCAGTGGACGAGCGCACCCACTCATCCGCCGTGTGTGCCTTAACATTTACCTTGTTGGCCCGAAGTTGTCTTCCAAACATTTGTTGCACTCTTCGGGTGGAATTCGTTTTCACCACGCTAGTAATTCACCCTTATTGTTCACGGTCTCTTTTCCAATCGCTCTCTCTCTCTTGGCCGCCTTTCTCTTTCTCTGTTTACATGGCTATCTCTCGCGGGTTTTTGCTCTCTTTTCAAGCTAACCTAAGCCGGTCCGACGTCATCGCAAAGGTCAAAGAAAAGCAGAGCGAAAAAAAAAATAAAACTAAAATAATAAACTCACTAGACACTTGAATAAAAATATTTTGAAAGTAAATAATTATTTAAAATTTTGTTAGGTTTACAAATAAATTCGTAATTAATTACTGGGTCAAATCTAAGATTTTTGTATAAAATTCTCAAATAGTTCTAGCATGATATAAGAATTTATCAAATATTAATTTTAAAACAAATTGTGTTTGCATTTTTTACAATGGAAAATTTTACTTTTAAGCTTAAAAAATATGCGTAAAAGTTTTCATATATTTTCGATTTATATTTTTAAAGTGTATTAAAGCTTTTTCGGAAAAGTCAAGGAGTACTGGCAAGTTGCGTGGTAGGTGGTGATGGGTTACTACCGGGCGGAGCACTAGCGATTGCCATGTCTTCTGGGGTGGGGTGGTGCAGATTGCGTGGGGTGCCTTTGGGTGGGTGTCCAACCATATGGTCAATGCACAGAGCAAATTGCCACTTGGCGGAGGCGACGCTTCATTTGGTTTTCAAATTGAATAGGAAGCGTCGCGACATTGTCGGGCGTCTCTATGTTCCCGACGCCCCCGAAAAATGTTAGACCCCGCTCTCGCTTCAATTCAAGGATTCGTCCTCCGCTAATTGAGACATTTGTCAATTCGCGTAAATGAGACATCATTTCTCAAAGGCATCCTCTTATTGGCCAAGGGAATTAGGGAACACAAAGTAATGGCTTATTCCCGATTGCAATTTTTTAATTAAATCAATTATACCAAAATGGAATGATTTAAAATTTAGTCGTGGTTGATATTATAATATAGTTAATAAAGTACCAAAATATTCAGTTTATCTAATTAGTCTTGCTACATTTGGTGGCTTGAAAACTACCTAATTAGTAGGGAACATACATACAATACAATTTTATTAAATGTAAAGAAGTAAAGTAATTCATTTAATGTTCCCAGAGTATTGATGGAACAGAGCAGATAATTTTGTATACTTTTTTGTGGGATCACAGTCAAAAATATCTCGGGGTTCGGATTCTGGCTGGATGGCCAAGGATGTTGCTGACTTCTTATTTATATAAGAAATAGATTTGTTGGTTGATGTAATGGAACTACTGTCATGCAATAGCTTTTTGGGTAAGGGATTTACATTTTTGAAAACACCATCGCGCTTTTTCGATATAGGTTTAGGATTTTTTAAAGTACCTTCATTCAATGACCTTTTCGGTTTGGTATTAGAAGTTCTGTGAGTACCGTTATTCACTGGCTTTTTTGGTATAAGTTTAGGATTTTTAAACGCTTCTGAACTTGAGTTTTTCTGTAGCACAGTTTTAGAGCTTGTCTTTACAGACTTTTCACCTTTTGTGGACTGGGTTTTCTCATTCATTTCTGGCATCTTCAAGCAACGTATATCATTTTTAAGGCGTGTAAAAGTAATGGATTCCAAATAATAGCGACCTTTAAAGTTTGTATTTAATTAATAAATAATTTAATATTTTATGTTAACTTACCTTCAGCTTTTTGCAAAAATCCCGAACGCAGGCCCATTTCAAGAGTTTGCTTCACTGGCACTTTAATGTCTTCCGGTGGAAGCTCCGTATTTTGAGCTATAGTCATCACTATTTCTCGCAGTGTTGCCGGCGAGTTAAGCAACTCCATTGTATGCATAATAATGGCACCATTAAAATTCGGCATCTTAAATGTTTGTTATGTTGTATTTCAGCTTTGACAATAAAAAAGAAAAATGATGAGGCTTTTGAACATAGAAAGTAACTGGGAAGCTAGGTATTTACTATCGAAAGATTTTAATAAATTAGGATAAGTAAAGATCAATGGCTACTTTGTCTACTGAAAATCTTAAATTTTTAATTTTTAAAATATAGATAATTTCTTTGATTTATTTTATTAAGAGTTAAACTTAAAAAACCCAAAATTCCAACATTACATATTGGTGAAAAATCGTCTGAAAATCCTTGGTCTTTAAAGAACCAATGCCATTTTTTTTTGCTTTTATTCTGTCTGATGAAATTTGAAACGAGATCTACGTCAAGCGGTTATCGCCTTGACATGGCCAATACCAAGAGAATTGGTCGTATCTATCAATGAACCAGGTTGCCTAACAACAGGACTGAAAAAAAGAACTGAGCAAACTTTGCCACATAACAGTTCAATATTGGCTTCTGATATTTACATCAGAGACTTCTTTTTTGGTTTTTGCTGACGCTGTCCGCTGTCACTATACTGCTGTTCCTAATCAGCGGACTCTATAAATAGAATCCCTGACCGCCCACTCGCAACTCTTCGGCAATCGCCCACAGAATATACACCATATGGAGGTTTAATTAAACTCGGTTCAGCAAAAAACAAAAAAAAAATACACGAGCAAAGGAAAACAAAGCAAGATGTTTACACGCAAGTCAAACAAGGACAAAGTTTTTTTTGGCATCAATCATGTATATAGAGGCAATTAAAGCTTCAACTGCTGTCAGAGTCAAGATGTCTTTGCTGTTGCATCACCATCACCACTAGATAAAGCTGAACCCATATAGCCTTAAATTGAGTTGCAATAATAATTTTATTAATATTATTTTTTTGGGCGTCACAAAAAATCCTTGTGAAAGTTTCAGGCAGTGACTATAATGGGGTGAGTGCACCGTCAGTGTCTGTTATTGACAGTCAACGGTAATTTAATCAAAAAGTGTCAGACAGCGTTTGCCATATGGCGGCCATTGGAGCGTTCACTTGGGCGCCATAAAAAAACAGTTAAGAAGGATGTGACACCAAGGACACTCAATGTATAAGCAATGCCCAGCTGAAACTAGAAAAATATATATTGAAAATAAGAATAGAAAAAGAGGAGATTTGAATTCAAGCTGAAAATATACATATAAGATTTCCTTAAATTGCTTTATTAGAAAATTAAATAATAGAATAGGTTTCTTAATAAAAATTCTACAAAAGTGCCACTGAATACTCTGAAGCTTGTGAAAAATTTTCCAAAAATAGCTCTTGGGCAACGCATTAAAGTATGCTATGCTTTTAGCCCCACAATTTTCCATGCGTTCTAGTAAAGTACTAAATATATGTATGGTCTGTATGTATGTAAATACCCTTTTGTGGGTGGGTTAAATTCTATTTGATTTCCGTTAGGGATAGGCCCCTAAAAATAGCCACGGTCAAAAATCAGAGCCGACAGCTCAACGCCCAAAGCGAACATTTATTTAACATGTTTGATGTTTTCCTCAGTTAAATGTAGCATTTCGACTCGAACCCAAAATAAGCAAAAAAGCCGGACGAGTGGCAGGAAATTCGTTTTGTTGATTGTTTGGTTTCAACGTTCTGCACAGGGAAAATAAAAGCATTTCTCGTACACATAAAAATTCTTTTCTAGAAATGCCATTTAAAATGCAGTGCAAATGTTATTTTAACACTTGTCAGGGTGCAGAAAAAAAACAAAACTTGACTGGATTTTTTATGGAGACAGAAGGTGAAAGCATAACGCATGTTTAGAATGGCAATTCTGACACGCTTTCCTCTTATTATTTATGACAATTGTGAAACGTTGAATTGAGAAAAATGCTGATGATGGTTGAATGAAAATGGACGTACAGAAGGGAGAGTGTTAAAAGCTAAGAATATTGTTTACTTTATTTTATATAAGGGTTTACATAAGTAAAATTTAATGAGTTAAATTATTTTTAAATTCTTTAATTCAAAAGCTTGTTTTATCATTTAAAAAACTCTTCTATAATTCAAATGTATTATATTCCATGTGCGTATCAATTTGTATACCCATTGACCAATCACTGTTTCCTCTTCGTTCATCGAATTTGTATAAATTTAATTTGTTAATCAAATATGCCCAATTGAACGGAAATCCTGTACATCAAATGCACATATACTTGTGCATGAAAGGGCACATCTTCTTTGACATTTATGCAGAGTCAACGCCTATATGTATACAGTAAGCACCAAAGGTATGCCGACACACAACCAACGTGCGTGCGAGAAGTATGTGTACATTCATACATACAACGTGTGTGATAAGCGACAGCTCCTGTATCCTGACAGTTATACTTGTGCGCTGTGTTTCAAGCGTAAAGATGACCGGTAGCCCTTTTCCATAGTCTCCTCAGTGTGTCAGTACACTTGAAATAAAAGTTCCTATTAAAAGTGGTAGAATTTACAAAAGAAAAGAGTCCTTTATATATTTTTGAAATAATAAAAGCTCTGAAAACTAATTTATCAAAATTTAAAACTTAGATAACTTATCGAAAAATATCCTATTTTTATTTTATTTTTTGGTAATCATCAGCAGGCGCGTTGATTTAGGAATGTGTGCTTGTGTAGACAGTGTAACTTTCATGGTAACTTTCAGCGTACCTTATATACAAGCTACTAGATTAATGTTATTTAATATTGATTGAAATATTGAAAATATTGAAAAAATAAAATAAAAATTGTAAGCTGAAATGCCTTGCAACTTTTCACTTAATTAAGATTTATTTTTTTTTGGTGTATTTTGACATTCCTGGCCAATTGCCTGCTGTGACCGTGTTTCCTGTGTATAAAGACCATGCAAGTGACAAATTATATGCACAATGGGCCAAGGGGAGGGGAGGACAGGGCCCAGTGGAGACAGATGAGTTGTGCGAAAGTGTCAGCATCAGTGTCAGTTTTGGGTTTCTCCAAGCAAAATGTTTTATGTGCAGCCAGCGAGACATTTTTGGCCTTGTATAAAATATGAGTTGCAGTTTGCAGCAGCAGCAGCAGCTCCTGCCGGTTGCCGGTTGGTCAGGGCCATAAACTTTGACCTGGTCCACGTATGAGCATTTTCACCCTTTATGCCAAACCTTTCGGCCATCTCGTATATCAACTAATTGCACTTTGTTTATTGTCCGTGTTTGTGCCTGTGTGTGTGTGTGTGTGTGTATCATCCTTTTGGCTTTGTGGGCCTTGTAATTTAGTTTCATGTCTGGGACGTGATTTCCGGGGCCAATTGGAAATTTTCTAGCCATAGATTGTCAATTTTAATTGACTTGTTTTGCGTTGCGAAACAGCAGCGGCTGTTGCGAAACGTTATTTGCATTTTGTTGATTTACAGGAATTAAAACCAAGCTGTCTAAATATCAACAAGATGCTCAGTGCGTAAGACATTTTGATTGCGTGTTTAAGCCTCTTTTCTTGCTCAACCAGTATTAAGTGAGCTCTTGTCAGACGCTGCCCAAAAGTATGCCGCACGAAATAAGAAAACAGAAAATGTTTGAAAATGTTTTGGCCAGCAAAGAAATTCTCCGTAATTTTTTTTTTTGGTTTTTTAGCTTAAGTCAATTAATTGAAGCCATTTCTTGTGCTCAGTTTTCGGGGGTTTTCCCCCGATTTTCCACAGTCTTGTTCCTTGCTCTGACGTTTGAGCGTTGCGTCACTTCCATGCGGGCAACTTTTACGCACTTGCTTCTTAATTACTCACACCGTTCATTTCCCATTGTCCACAGTTTTCCCCTCACGACATTTTCATGTCCTCGGCTCAAATCCTTAAGCTCCTTTCAGAGTTTGCTTGCCTGCAAGCCGCTTTCTGCATTTGATTCTGGTCTTTGGCAAGGTATTTCGATGGCTTTGCTAAACAAATTTTAAAATTTAAATAGTTGAATTACTCTCTATAATTTTTTTTATTATAATTTAAATCTCTGGCATATTTATAAGGTTCTTTAAATTTTTAAATAAATATTTATAAGCGTATTCATAAATTCGGCTTGCCTTCAAAGTTAAACTTTTTATCGGGACTTAGTCTTTATGTGGGCGAGAGCCAGCAGAATATAGGCTAAGCGGTGCTCTCTTATTTGGTTGGAGTTTCCTTTTTTATATACTCTTACAAGAGGGGTGCTTTGAGTGCCACATTAAATGAAATATTTTTAAAATAAATGTATAAATTCAAACAAAAATTCCTTATAATACAAGAACTTTAAAACTACCTTGTGGTTCAAATTAATATCATAATTTTAATTTGAAATTATTTTATGGCAATTCCCTTGGAGAAGAACATAAATAGAATATTAAAAGTTGGCCAAGTCTGGTTTCTTCTTGCTTCAAAATAATTGTTTATGGAAATAATGTGTCTCTTTGTTCCCACGAGAGCATTTTATTTTCGGTTTTGCGAATTCCCTCTTATCAGTCAGTGGGGCTTAGACGTGGGCCTACATATAAATTTCCCTTTTGTGCGGCTCCTTCATCAACATCCCTCATCCCTTATCCCTTCGCCACCCCCAACCCCGTCATCGTCGTTGTCTTCAAGGACCTGCTGCAACATGTTTGCATTTCATTTGTTAGCAAGTTGTCAACATTTTATCTATGTTATTATGTCTTGCCTACTTTTCTGCTCCTTTCTGTTGCTCTTGCTCCAGTTTTGTTCCATTTCTTTTCTCTTTTTTTTTGTTTCTTTACTTTTGTTCCTTTCTTTCTAAGCTTAAAGGTAAGCCATTAAAGTTTCCAAAGGCAGGGCTGGGACGGTGGCTCATCATTAGTCAAACGTCATGTCATGTGAATGGGGCGTGATGAGCGTGCAGCGAATTTATCATTGGGCCGCATCTTGGATAAGTCCGGGCCACGCGGCGTATGAGCAATAAAGCAAATTAATACAAATATTAATCATACGACGCGTGGGACCGAAATGCCAAAGATCAAGGGAAGCGAGAGACATCAAAAGGGTCAGCTAAGCGCAAAGTTTAAGCATCCCTCACTTATGGCGAATTCATAACCCAAAAGAATGCCACAACGAGATGTGGCATGCAACTATGAAATTGGAGTCGTAAATGGTTTTCTAGTTACGACTGTTTGGGGTTGCTGTTGGTTTTTGTACCCTAAGGATAGGCTTCTTAGAGGGTAGATTAGCTTTGGGATTATTAACTTAAATTAAGAAAGAAGATTTTTAATTTGAAGATATTTTGTTGAGTTTTTTATTTTTTTTTTTTTAAGAATTAAAATGAGAACTTTCTGAAGATTATTTATATATTTTTATTAAGAAATTATTTCAAATATTACTATTTAAACCCAGAAAGTTAGGTTAAATTTGCAAAATTAAATCAAAAATATATATATTTATTTATTATATATTTTTTTCTGTTAAGCAGGGTATTTTTCAATTCGTTTTCTTTCAACCAACTATGGCATACCAACATGTTTCCTGTGTTATTATGCCGGTGGTCATAAAATTCAGTTTAACTTGTTGCGTTTGCAATACTGAAAGCTTGAAATTGGTTTCGGGTTTTCTATAGTTGAGTTGCTAGGCGGTCGCTCACTCATGCGTCGTGAGAATTGAGACAGTTTTTGCCAGGGTAAAAGAGCGTAGAATGAGAGAAATTCTCATTACGCAGAGAATTTAGCTCTTTCGAGTGAGATTCTTTGAGTGAAAATGTGCCTAAAGTGGCGCAAGAATGTTTGAGATTATTTCAAAGTCATCCGAAATTAACTAAGTAAGAGAACTTTTACGTAAAAGAAGCCCGCACTTGAAGCCACTTTGCGGAAATTGGCCAACACAAGAAATTTTAAGGTTTATGGGAGGAAAAGTATTTAAGGGATTAGAGATTATGAATTATGATAAGTTGCTAGTGATGATTAGGTGGAAGTTATATTGCTAAAAATAAAGTTAATATTCAACTGATTTGATTTTTACAACTTTATTTAAGGTTTGAAAATGTATTTCAAAGGTGTAAAAATGTTCACCAAATAAGTTTAATTCTTAAATTATACTTTTAAATTAGATTAAAATGAATTATCCAAAGAAAAAATTAAATTATAAATTGGTAATAGCTTTCTGAGCCTTTTTATTTAAAAATGTTATGTTTACCAAAACATTAATATTTTTTAAAATTTATAAATAAATTATATTTTATATATAAAAGTATATATACCCATTATATACTGTTTCATTTAATATAATTGTTATCCTTTCTTCACGGCTTTCTAGCTTGTTGACTTGAAGGGCTCTTATTTTTTTCCCCGCTGCGATATCATTACTTATTATGCTGTTGTTTTTATTTATTCTTTGTTACCGTCTTGTGGCGCTAATTAAATTTGTTGCCTTACCCACAACCGCGCGCTCACAGACACACACACACACGCATACAGTAATACAACCCCACAACCCACACAAAGACACTGGCACACAGATACAAAAGGAAGGGAAGTCCCCTTCCTCGTTATTCCTTTGGCGTTGCCAACTTAATTGCATTTTTTCAAGTTTGCGGAGAGCGCATCGTTTTGCAACGTTTCTTTTTCGCAGCTTTATTGATAATACAGAGGCGTTTTATCTAGCGATGCAACGCCCTTCTAGTGACTGCGGACAAGAAGTGGTTATTAAATAATTTCTGAAAATATTTTTATGGTCAAGCATATGGTGGGAAGGCATAGACTTTCCTCTATCTCACTCTCTGATTTTGTAATTATCGGTCTGTGCAAATATTTGTTCAATTTGAAAATATTTCTGCATATGAAATCGCGCGTTCGGAAATGGAAATGAGCTTGCAAATATTTTGCGGCGATTTTGTAAACAGTTTTCCCTGCTTTCCGGCTATCCGCTCCAAATTAAATGCACTAAAATATTATCTACAGTTTACACTACAAATACATTTTATATATTTATTTTCCTTTGTTTTTTTGACTCTACTTTTATGGTATTTATTTTGTGGTTTACCTTTGATCTAGCATAAATTTAGTTCTGTCCAATTAAATTTAATTTAAACTCTTTTACTTATTTACACATAAATATTTGTATAATTTGTAGCATACAAATTGTTTAACCAATTAGTGGTACATTGTTTAGGTCCTTTCTAATTAGTGTGTGTTTAGTCATATTAAATATTTATAATTTTCCCCCAATTACTGATGATTAAATGGCAACCGATTGAAAAGCGGAATTTAATTGGGTTGATTAGAAATTTACAGAGTACAAATGTTTAATTAAATTGTTGACTTTGTGTATAAACTCAGTGTGTAGATAGAAATTTAAAGCAGTAAAACACAAAATTAATTGAAAATCTTACAAAGAACTTTAAGTTTAACCAAAAATAGAACAGATAGCACTTAAAATATTTGCATATAAATCCAATCAAAATGTTCATTATGGAACCTTTGATGTCTGGAGCTTAGATCCTGGAACCCTCAGAATAGCCCAACATATTTAAGTAGTGTAAATTGAATAGAAAATAACTTCCGGTATGCATTATTCATTTATTTTGGTTGGCCACAAGAGCTCGTACAACATTTTCTGGCCGGCCAGCCTCTCTTACTCCTGCACACATTGCTCATACGCCAGGTCGGCCGCATAAAATATTGAAATTGTTGACCAAAAACGCAATTTACGCATACATATTGCATATTGACCAAACTCCCCCTCTCTGTCTATCTTTCTGCGTGTGTGTGTGTTGGCATGAGGGTTTTCCCTTATGTTGTTGAATAGATTTTCATTTGCATTTGTGCAGATTTAGCTGATTTTGCCATCAATGTTATTTTTTGCCACTGATTTGATTCTCGATGTGTAAAAATCCGTTTAATGTATAAAATACATTTAAATTAAGCGCTTAAGGTTGCCAATGGTGTTGGTTCAAGTTGAATTTGTTGTTCGACATTTAATATTTATTAACTGGTTTAAATTACATGCTGAAAGTTATTTTGAACAATTTGTTTATAATTGGGTCATGTCATTCATAAAAGTTGAGTTTGCTTTTGATAAATCACAGGAAATTCCGGTAAATGCTATTGATTAAAAACACTGTACTTGTTAAGCTTGTTAAAATTAAAAGTTATTGTTTAGAGGTAAATAAGTTTGCAGGAATTTACAGAAAATTTAGGTTATAAAGCCAGTAATTAAATTTACATGCCTAGGAAATTAGTTTAAAAATTGGCAACGATTTTTCCATGTGTTCTCCTTCAAAATTGACTCTCTCAACTATTTTTTTTGTGACCAAAAACTAAGTAAAACAAATTTCATCTTCAAAGTTGGGCACTTCACTCCTGGCAAATATTTTCCACTCATCGTTCTCGTTTTCTACTCTCATTTATGATTTGCTTTTAATTAAAATAAATATTTTATGGGTTTCGATAAACAATCTCGAAAGGAGAAAACCGGCAAGAAGCACAAAAAACAACACAAGCCAAACTTTTGACTCGAACTTTGTGAGGGTAAAGTTGATAGAAAGTGAAAGACTTTTCGAGTTAAACAATTTTCTTTCCATTTTCCGTTTCGTTGCAGGCATTGGCAATCTAGAAAAAGGTGTAAATAATTGAGGCGAAAAACTTGGCCCTTATGACTTTCAACTTCCGTGCTTATCCAAGCCCAACTTGTGTGACTTAATTCGATCAAATCGCCGGCACAAGAGCAACATGAGACTGCTGGCGACAAAGTGCAAGGGCAACCACAACAATTTGAAATTGTTGCCGCAACAGAATCTCAATTTGCAATCTCTGGTTAACTCGATGGAAGCCAATTTTTACTGAATGCAACAATTGAAGTAAGCTCAATCAGCAAAAATATTTCAAAACACTATGGCAACAGCTGTCCTGGAGGCAAGCGAAACAAAATTGGAGTTGGTGTGCGACGAGTGCGATTATTATGGTTCTACTGATACGATATTTACCGATAACAGCACCCAAACCGATGGCTTCGATGACGATGAATCGGAGCTAAAGCCCCTGAAACCCAGATTAAGTCAAATTGTGGAAGAGGAAATGGAAATGGAAGGGGATATGGCTAAGGATACGGAAGTGGCGGTCAAGCTTGAGACAAACGGTATACGCAACGATAACGATAACAATAATGATGCTAGTGATGGCCAACCATTGATAGAAGACTCGATAAATGAAGACGAATCAAAGGAGGATGTGGAGATTCAAGAGGAATCTACAAAGCAGGTGCCAAATGACTCTGACGAGGAAGAGGAAATCGACGAAGTGGCCAGGCTCACGGGCTTAGCTCTGGGCATGGGATATGCCCGAATTATAGACTACGATAACTTGCGCATCATCGAGCATGTTATCGAGAGCGACGATGATGATGACGATAGGGATAATGATAATGCTAGTGCAAGGGGCAAGGCAACCACATCGGCCGAATTGCAGCAGGCCTGCCACGATTTGGTGACTTTCATCGGTGAAAGCTATCAGGTAATCGAGAGGTCAGGTCACAATCGTGACCCCCCGGCCACATTGCAGGTGGTGGACAATAACAACAACACTCGCAACAGTGAGATTTCGCCCCGGGGAATTGGTTCCACTCAAAGCCGTACAAAGTCCGTCAAAGAAAATCAAAAAGCCAGCACAAGTGCAACGGCAACGCCAACAGGAACAGCCTCAGTAGCACCATCAACCAGCAGTGCTTTGATCAAGGCCTATAAATCGAATTTGACGCCGTTGGCGCCACCCTTTCAACCCGCCGCCCTGAAGGCCAAGCAACAGCAACTCCAACAGTCCTCAGTGGCCAGCAGCAGTAGCAACATGCCGACAGTGGCCAGCAGCAGCAATATGTCCTCATCGGTTACGACGACAGCAACGAATGCTCTGGGCTATGCCGCCTACGAACAGACCACTGTATATTATCAGCAGCAAATACAACAGTCGCTGCAGCAACAGCAACAGTTGTCACCCAAGCAGCAACAGCAGCAGCAGCAGCAACACTGTGCTCAACATTCCGGCTTGCCTCACATCCATGGCGCCCAACTAATGCCCGTGCAATTGATTACCTTGACGCCACCGTCGGCGGCATCAGTAGCTGCTGCAGTAGCCGGAGCCTCAGGAGCAACTGTATCAGCAGCAGGAGCAGCAGCAACTCCTGCTGCAGCAGCAGCGGGTGGCACAGCAGCGGCAACATCTTTAACTGGCGCCGCTTGGCCACTTGTGGAGGCGCCAATTTACATCGACATCAATGGCGAATATCGCAGCTATTGCCCGGCACATGGACCACCGGCAGTGACAGGCCCGCCAAATGGCGCCATTGCCCATCATCCCCATATCCATGGCCATTCTCATGCCCATCCCCATTCGCAGCCCCATTCCCATCCCCATCCTCATACGCATTCGCATCCCCATTCGCATACACACTCCCATGCCCAGCAGCAGCAGCAACAGCAACAGCAGCAGCTTCATCATCACCATCAGCAGCATGGGCAGCATCAGCAAGTGACAAATGTTAATGGAAATATTGCCCAGGCAGCAGTCGCAGCAGCAGCGGCAGCCGCAGCAGCATCAGCGCCTCGTTTGCTGCTGCAACTGGACGCAGTGGCTGTCCAGCAGCAGCAACAGCAACAACAGCAGCAGCAGCAACAACACCAGCAGCAGCAACAGCAACAAATCGCTGCCGCTGGCAAGCGTAGCAAAGTTTATCGAGGTGAGTGGCCGTTTTATGACATTTGTTGTACAGTTTTTATTCCTGTCCATGATACCCGGGGCTATTTGGGTCCATATAGTTTGCGCAAAGGATGACCAGTGCACTGAGAGAATGAATATGTTGTGTTTCACTAAATATATTCAAGGAAAAAGAGTCCGTAGAAGAGCCTAAGGAATCGTAAAAATATTCATCAATTTAAACTACAAGCCTATTTTTTATATTTATATATATACACATAATATAATAATATATATTTACATTTAAATTTAAAATAAAATTATTTTATAGATCCTGAAGAAAAGATTTAAAATCAATGTAAAATGTGGGCAAAAGTATGCAATGAAATATTTATTTAAAGATTGCATTTTGTTTTACTAATTTGTAGCATACTTTTAAACGCAATTTTTATTGATTTGAAAACCAAGTAATTTTGTGAACCTCCTGATAAATTTTCTTTGATCTTCTAATATAAAAATCCTTGAATTCGTTTTAGAAATAGGTTACAAGACAATTTTTTTCATATTTATCTCAAATTATTTTCTCAATAAAACCTAAACTTTTAAACCTCTTAAATTTTTCTCCTTGTGTTCTAACCATATAGAGTCCGTACGATCCAAAGTGTCTTCCCTGGAACTTTGGACATTACTTTTAGCTTTGATTCATAGTGTCTGCTAGTAGGAAGGGAGATACCCTGGGGAGACCGAGACTCTATTTCTGCATTTCATGTGCTGCTCACAGCCTCCTTCGTCGTCTAACTAGCCAGGCCAGGCCAGCCAAGCAACCAACATAACCAACCAGGGATTTAATCAGTTAAGCAAAGCTAACTGAGCCAGGATAGGCAACTTGGCTGGCTGGTAGTATGTTGCCCTGGTCAGGGTTAAAATTAATTTCGAAGCCGTTGGGCCGCTCCCTTTGTGTGAACTGTTTACTTTTAGGGGCCGTCGGAGGTAGCGAGTGCCATGACTTGGCTTGTTTGTCCGGCTTATTTGCCAAATAATCTGTTTGTTTGGCTATGCAATAAGTAGTTCTGGGCCCTGGCATCATCAGTTGACATAGGCAGGTTGGACTGTGTTGGGCCTTCGACAACAGGAGATTAAACAGAAAGAGCCAAAGGTGAATGCAAATTGAGAGGTAATTGTTTTTGCCGCATATCTGGGGGAATTCTAGAATAAAGGAGGCTCTGGGAGAAGTGAATACACAGGATCTGTGTAAATGAAATGGCTTATTTAGGTCTCTTTACAACCGGAAGTTGATGTTGACCGGAGACTGTAGGTAACTGTAGGTAGGATTTGAGCAAAGAGTAGTCATTTTAGACTGAAATTTAATCTTTTATATTTTAAAATAAATTAATAATAGGTGTATGACCTCTATATTTATATTGTTTGTACCTTTGATTCCTTTCACTGTAACCCTTAGTTCTGCCCGCTTCACCACTTTCGCCATATCGGTTTCCCATTCGCATATCAAATCCTCTATTTGTCGTCTTTTTTATGGCCGACTATCAACGGCATCCGTTGGGTTCGACACCTGGCGATTGCCTTTCAGTGATAGCTCTGCTCCATTTTCTGTTGACTTTATCCAGCATCGTCTAATCCGATTCATTTTTGCCATTTTCAAGCTGTATGGTAGTTTCAATTTGCATTTGCTCCCCCTCAGGTCGGTACAGGGGAAGAGGAGCTCTCGTCCTTGTCTAGTTCGGCTTCGGAGGATCACGGGGCAGTGCATATTGAAGTCATCACAGTTGGCGACACTCCCAGGCAATTTCTGTGCGCCAACTTGACCATATCCAGCTGTGTGTATGCAGATGACACTGTGTCACCAGAGTCTCCTATGGGCCTTCTCCCCGGATGGTCCGTGTTTTTCATTTTTCTTTTTTTTTTTTTTTTTTAAGAGTTTTCAGAGCTCCTCTGCCAAGTTTGCCGGAGAGTGCTCTTCTCTCTTAGCTCCACTCATTTTGTGTTTCTTTTTTTTTCGGGTCCGCCACACGCTGTGGTCTTATGGACTCTGATTTTTCGTTTTGTTTGGGCCAATGCAACATTGTTGCCTTGCTCTAGGTACACGTGGAAAAATAATTTTGTTTAATATTTTGAAAATTAAAATTTTAACTTGAATTTTGTTTCTATAATTTACCATAGACAGACACTTCCCTGCCTTAAATCTAGAGTTTCTTCTTCCAGTGTACCATATATCTTCCTTTCTGGCTATCGCTTTCTCTTTTGCACGCGTGCACACACTCCTTTGGCCAGAAACAATGGTGTCCATTTCCCTTTGTTGTGTGCCGCTTTTTTTGCAAATTTTCACTTACATATTCGAATTTTACAGTTTTTAACCATTTTTTTGTGCCTTGTCTCCAAGTCAGGCTTTTTGCCAAAATGATTTTTTGTCTCTTTTTAGCCATCTCTCTAGCTGCTATCTCTTTCTTAGCATTTTGCCATCTATTTCCTTCTGTATTTGTCTATTTATGTATGTTTGTCTCTTTTTTATACCCTTGCAGGGTATTATAATTTCAGTCAGAAGTTTGCAACGCAGTGAAGGAGACGTTTCCGACCCTATAAAGTATATATATTCTTGATCAGCATCAACAGCCGAGTCGATAAAGCCATGTCCGTCTGTCCGTCTGTCCGTCTGTCCACCTGTCCGTTTCTACGCAAACTAGTCCCTCAGTTTTAAAGCTATCTGAATGAAACTTTGCATATAGTCTTCTATATACTCTCACCGCTATATATGTCGGAACGGGTCGGATCGGACGACTATATCATATAGCTGCCATACAAATGTTCGATCAATTTTTAGAAAAAAAATTATAACTTTGCTGTTTTTTAAAATTTTTGCACTATTTTTTAGATATGGCCATTTTATATTATTTCTGAATTTTGGTAAAAATTTTATGAAAATCGGACGACTATATCTTATCGCTGCCATAGAAACGATCGGGAAATTAATAGGAAACAATATATAACTTCGTTGTTTTTTAACGTAATTTCATCTACTCTGAGATATAAGCTTATTTTATTATTCTAGAATTTTGGTATAAATTTCAAGAAAATCGGACAACTATATCATATAGCTGCCATATAAACCGATCGGTAGATGTAGAGAAAATGTAAAGGTGTGAATGTAAAACTGTAACTGTCAAACTGTAAACATAATAAGTATAGGTAAAATGTAATGAAATAATATCTGCAAGGATATACAAACTTCGGCGTGCCGAAGTTAGATTCCTTTCTTGTTTTAAATTTAATTTGCGTTTTAGTGTTTTAGTATTGCCTTTTCGGTGATTTTATTTCGATGGTGTTCCAGAGCTGGGAATCTTGTATTTGTAAACATTTTTTTTTTAAATAATGTAAATAATTTTATATTTACTATTTTTTATAGAAAAGGAGTTTTTGTTTATTTTTTTTATTAAAAAAAATAATTATTTTAAAAAAGTATAAAGTATTAGGGAAATTTTTCAAATAAAATAAGTCGTAAAGAAAGAAAACATATATTATGAATTTTTTAAATTTTATATTTTATACAGCTTTTTTTATATAAAAACTGTCATAAAATAAGTTGGACATATATATTATAAATTGTTCATTTTTTATAGAATTTTTTTGCAAAATAAAATCTCCCAGAATTAGTTTTTTGGAATCGCCAAATCGCCTGACTTTTGGGCTTTCACAAAGTGCGTAGCATGTGGCATGCATCATTCTTCCCGAAATGTGCTTCCCCATTTTTTTTTGCCCAGTCAGTCGACTGTCGCCAATGTCCTTATCCCTGGACCATTCGCATCTTCGTCCTTATGCCCATCCAGAGCCATATCCATGTCCACTTCGATGTCCCCATGTCCGGTGTCAATTTTTACCATCTCCATTGGCTTTTGGCTGGCAGTTGAGCGGATTTCTTTTTTCATTTTGCTCGCTTTTACCCCCTTTTTTTTTTGGGCTATAGCCAGTACAGGATCAGCCGCCTGTTGTCATAATTTTAGCACTCACTGTGCGTTGGTTTCGGGTTTTTTTTTGCAACTGGGTTGAGCTGGGGCAAAGTGGAAATGCGTTTTCCGCGCCCTTCTTGCTCTTTTAATGTCATTTGCTCTGGCTGATTTTTTGTGCAGCCTCCGGTCCCGTTGTTGACTGTGTTTATTTTTCATGGTGTAATTTATTTGAGGCTCGTTGGTTGGTGTGTAGCTGGTAGTCGGCATCCCATTGGTTTATGGCTTGTAAGTTGTTTATTATTAATGTTTGGCTTATGCTGGCAGTTGTCGGGGCGAGCCCCTCCACGGGGCCTGAGCTGGATTCGTTTGCCTTTTGGTTGCACTTTACGGGCATGAGCTCATAATGAAGTCATAGTTATCTGCCCCGCCCGCCCCGTTTTTACCATATTTGTTGGCCATAAAATATACGCGTATGCGTCATATTGCGACAATGCCCCGCCGCTGCCCCCCCAAAAACTACTACTACTACTACCAATTTCAATCCAGTTTTCATTCCCAAACCCTTTCCAGCTTCCCGGATCAAGCTGCATGCTCTTGCATTAGCCAGCACTTATGTACTATTCACATTAATCATGCCATGACTGCGTTATGTATTTTGTATATATCTTTATATGTTATATAGAGCCTGCAACACAGGGAGGTGTCTTTGGGGGGCACAGAGGATTTGGTATTTATATGGTTTAAATTAAAAAAAATTTAGTTACTAAAAGGGTTTAGTTTTAGGAACTTAAATACAATGAGAATTATATAAAATTATTTCAATTTATAGTTTTTTAAGAACGTAAGGCTTAGTTTATTTAGAAAACAATCTTTATCTGAAACTATTTTGGATTTTTATTGTATTTTGTTAATTTTCCAAAAATTATTAAAAATAGAAAAATTCTTTAAATAATATTATGGATTTTTTTATTGCTTAATTTAGATATATTATTTTTATTTTAGGATTGTAAAGATATGCCTATTTCACAGTAAGCAAAACGTAATAAATCTTGTGCCCTTAGAATTCCCAAGTACGAATTTAGTGACGGAAAACCTTTTATAATTTAAGTAATCTATTATTATAAAATCCCTAAAGTTACAAGACCTGATTTTTGTTTTGTTATCATAAAAAAAAAAGTATTTCTAAAAATCTCTTTGTAATAAAAGAAACAATAATGAACAAGAGCTAAACTCGGTCACAAGAAGACAATATTGAAGCAACTTGATTATCAGCAGTAGAACACACAATGTAAGTGACAAGCAGTTGGAAAAGTTTTTAATGAAATGCTAAAAACTTCCTGTTGAGAAAAAGAATCGGGAAATCAGATTGGATTGGATTGGGGTGGGATAGTTTCGGTTGCGAACGGTGTGGCCATGTGTTGACACCAATTTTCGCAACTTTCAATCGGCTTTTCGGCAAGGGTTGTTGGTTAGTGGCAGTGGTGGTGGCGGTGGTTCGGTGGCCAAAAACACCCAAACAACTTGGTCTGGCAATCCGGCTCAAGTCGAACTTAATTAAAGCGCTTTAAGCACTGCAGTTGTCACAGGGACACACAGCCAGAGACATTTACGGTTGGACTGTTTCGCAAATTGGCGAGTTGTAGACCAAAAACCAAACATGACAAACAAGCAAAGTTTTAGGCTTTGCCTTGCTCGCTCCCTGTTAGCCTATGTATGTATGTATTTGCGGCACAGGATGTGGCTCAAAGCGAAGGACATTTGAGCGTGAAATTTATCTCGCCCTTTAAAAGCCTTTGCGGATAATAGGGAAAGAACAAAACAAAAAAAACAAAAGGAAAAACAAGAAAGAAATAAGGTAGAAGAAACATATAAAGGAATCGGTGGGGAACAAAAAACACTTGAACTTAAATTATGTGCCATTATAATTGCCGCACACTGTCTGGCTTCAGATTGCAAAAGGGAATTTAATTGTTAACTCTGAAAGAATATCTACACCAAGATAAGGCCAAAAAAAGGGATTATATTGAACGCAGGGTTTATACGAGATGTTTTTTTTTGGGAATTATTTAAAATTATTTTAAAAGTAAATGTTGGTTTAATTCTATAAGAAATAATTTTAAAAATATCTTTAAACTTTTAAAAAAATTAAATTGGTTAAAATTAAGTGAGAATATTATTGTGTCTAAAAAATATATGAATACAAATACACTTTACAATAATTTTAAATAGATATTTAAGCTTTTAATTGAAATGAAATTGATTAAAATGAAGTAAGAATTGTAGTATAAATGTCATTCTAAGTTAATATCACTTTTAAAAATATTATAAAAAATATTTACAGTATCCTGTATTATAATCTTTATTAAAAATATTCAAATCTAATAAATAGAACCCGCATAAACGTAACAATTGGTAAATTCCAAGACACCCAGGCATGTGCAACAATTGAAAATGTTGCTTCTACTGCTACTGGGTTTCGGGTGTTCGAAAAGTTTCTTAGTCATGGGCAAAAAGTTTCCCAAGCTGCCAGGGAAAAGTGCAGTTTGTAGTTTAAGCCACCACCCAGGCCCTGTCTCAATTTCCCACCAACACATATGTTGGAAAACCTGCGGTTGCCTTCAACTTTGTTAAACGCCACAACCGTGTATGCTTAACCCCGAACAAAAACCCCCAGAAAACCCGAGAAAAGCACAAAAGAAAAAAAAGGTAGACTTCTAACTATGCTTTACTATGTCCACGAGGGGGCGTAATATAGCTGGATGCTGCACAAATACACACAAATCTATATATCTACATATTATATGTATATAATTTCATAGAACTTTGCACTACTTTTTGGGGGGCGGAGACAGGAATTTATGTGATATGCGTGTCGGGGAATTGATTTAATTTGTTTGAGTTTTAGCAGCAGGAAGTAAAACTATTATAAGGGATTAGGAATATGTAACACAGCTTCTTCCAACGGTAAGAGGCTTTAAGCGGATTTTCATGTTGAATAATGGAGTTGGTCTTTAAGTGCACAATCGAGTGAATAATATTTGATAAACTGAGTTCACAGCTATAGATAAATGTAAATGTAATTATTTTGCACTTAAATTACTTACTTTTTATGTGAATTTCAATGGCTGATAAGCAAACAAAATGTGAATTAAATCGATAACAAAACAATATGATGTAATTAAATGTAAGTGGATTACTAATTTAATTATGCTTGTTAATCGTGTTTGCTGGGGAAGTAGAGTGTGATTAAAATGATTACTAAACAATTATAAAGTGTGAAATAATGGAAAAAATGTATAACAATTTATAAATGATTTGTAAATGTGTAAATTGATTTTACTAAGGCTTAAATGGGTATTTAATAGGTCTTAAATGTTTCACAGTTTGTTATTTAATCTAAAATAAGTCCACGGGTATCTGGTTTGGTGCTTCTTTCCTAAGCACTTGACTGCATTTCCTTTAAGTTTTTACCTTTTGAACTTTTGGCAAAAAGATGCCATGATAATGCATTTGACAGTTGCAGTAGTTGCACCCTTTTTACCCCACTCTGAACCTCCTTTTTTTTTCTCGTAGTAGTTACTGGCTTTTGTTGGATTTTCGGTTCGGCAGCAGGGCTCAAAGGGTTTTTCATGACTCTCGATGAGTTGGTTACCCTGTAAAATTGGTGTATTGTAAGGGAAATATATTTTTTAATAAAATCTTACTTGATTCTATTATAAATATCTATTCCCTTAAAATTTAATTTATTATTAAATTCTTTTATTTATAAAACTAAACCAAAGGGTATGCCATCTTTCGTTTCTAACTATTTTTTATTGCCTCTGTTTTTTCCTCTCGATTTCTTTTTTTTTGTCGCCAGTTAGCCAAAGTCTTTTAGCTGTTGGCAGTTTGACACGGCGACAACTGGCGTGGTGGGAAAGAGAGAAGCTTCGAGGGATAGAAAGAGATGGAATCCGAGGGTGTCCTGCATATGTAACTTTAACACACATTCATACCTTGGCTTGGCTCGTTTACTGCTAGTTTGGCGTTGTGCAATTTAACAGAATGTTACGTTTTATATTCAATTTAAGGATGCAACCTAGGTCCTTTCTGCCCCCTGGCAAAGTGCACTGCAGCTGGGATCAAATGAAATTGTGGCCGAACACCACTCCTAACTTCGACGATGCTAGACGATTTAGTAATTGGTTGCAGGAAATTCATTTCATCCAGCTGTGGCTTATCCGCTTGGAATGCTTGATTTAGCTGGAAATCCATTAAGTGCTGCATTCTTGGAAATTATTTTGAAATTACTGGTATTCAGCTTAAAGTGAAGTCCTTATAGTTAAATTTTCCAAGAAGAACTATTTTCAATCTTCTTATATTTATATTTAAAAATAAATACAACAGTTTCTAAATTATTTTAAGTATAATAATTTATTATATTCCCTTTATGAAATTGTCACAAATATGTAAGTGTTTTAAATTTTTCTTTCTAAATTTTTACAAAAACTACAATAAAATCCTTACCTCCTTAAGTTCTTAAATATTATAAAAACCTCTCTTGCCGCACAACGGTCACGTGTCTTGGTTTAAACGACAATTTGCATGTGAAACTAGAAAAGGTGCTAGGGTGCGGAAAAGTGGTGGGGGAAATTGTGAGAAAAGCGAAAAAACCAGGGAATAGAATGAGAAGAAGCTACGATTTTCTCTATGCAATTTTTAGTGTCGAATGGTGCCAAGTTGGAAATGCACTTTTTATGTTCGCATGGCGTGTGCAACGTAACAAATTTAACCGTAGACAGATTGCACATGTGTACCGTTTTGTAATGTTATACATGTAGCACACACATATACAGATACAGATACACCACCACATTTATACGAGAAAACTCCACACACGAATGCTCCCCACACACACACACAGAGGGAGATCTTAGCAGAAGACGAAGTCTGGCAAAAGTTTTCATGTTGGCCAAGGGAAAAAGGGAAAACGGCGAGGGAAAGGTTCCACAAATGTGAAACAAATTGTTTAATGTTCTATCTTGCTCTCTGTCGCAGCTGTATTTTGTCTCTTTCTAGTTTTGTACACTAAAAGAAATGGGTTTTTATATATTTGTTTGTAATTTTTAAATCAAGCTTTCAGCGCTTTGGAGAACTCTTATATTTTCAGTTTTAGGAACTTTTTTTGTGTGTTAATTAATTTAGAGATTAAATACCATTAAAAATAATTTAAATTTGTACATTTTCTGTCAATAAAATCTATTGTTTTAAGCTATTAAGTTTTAACCTTACAAAATCCAAATTATTTTAACTTTTATTAATATAAAAGTAAACAAATATTTCATAAATTGTTTAAACATTATTTACACTTTTTCTTTACTTAAAATTATTTTTTTCTGAGTGTAGTTGCGTGTTTGGCTCCGTTTGAGTTTTGTCAATGCGACAATTCCTCGACGTCGACGTTTTCAGGGAGTTAAGTAATCGCACGTTTATTACCTCCATTTGGATATATTTTTTGTCCCATTGTCTAGCACTCCCTCTCTCTCTCTCTGCCTCCTTGGCTACTTGTCTGTATGTCCCACAGCTGTCTCCTTCTGGTTCTCCCTTTTAGCCATCAAAATCATGGCTTAATCACTTTGACTTGTTGTGGCTAATTGCAATTTGAAATGCTCCATGAGATGAGACGAGCTGAGCTGACTTTGATTTGTCCTAAATCCATGCTTGTCACACACTTTTTGTGTCAATTGGTTGTGGGTGGGTTAAGGTAAAGACTAACTGAATATATATATATATATATACATTTAATATCATCAATTTTCCCATCATTTTATTTCTTCAATAAACAGAATTTAGTAAGTAAAGCTTTTAAAATTTAAAATAGTAATTACAGAGCCTTGGTTTTTGCCTTGATTAACCCTTTAGATCTCAAATAGCGCACAATAAAGGGTGTGACACCCAGCGTGATGCTTATTCTAATCGGTGCAAGGACTTTGTGAATGGCAAAAGCCACCACAAAGGTGCTACCCGTGGCCACATTCTCGGCCAGTGCTGTTGAGTTAACTCCCAGGAACTCCAATATGGGAGCCAGGTCTATTCCGCCAGATACAAGTGCATAGAAGCCGGCAAAGGATATCAGGGAAATGGCCAAATGAAAGGCCATTATGGTAGGTCCATATTCCTTAAAGGCTCCCTTGAGTTGCTCTGTTTTACTCGGCTTAATATCGATGGTGGGTGTTGGTTGTGGCCCTGCTGATGGCGACTTCTCTGGGGAAGACGGCGGAGGTATTGATTGCAAACTGAAACAGCGTCTTGTTGGGAATATTAGAGCATTATTTTTGAGATTTGAACTGGCTGAGAACTGGTTTTCCTGCAGGTTTTGGAGGCGGTGTACAGGCAGGCAACACTTTATTCCAGCTTCTTTTTTAGTGATCGAAGGACATATCCAGGTCACAGCTAAGTAATTTCGTTTATCAATGTTCAAGGGAATGTGGTTTGGTTTAATAAAGTACGAGACTACGGGTAAACGAGTCCTAAAAATTGCAGATGCTCTGCCCGAATATAAGCACATTGTTTTTTAAATATATTAGTATTTTAAGTAAAGACAACTTGGTAAAATGAATGATAAGTCAAGGGTAGGTTATCAAGAGGAGTTTCTAGAAATTAGTTAAGAGCTTTTATTTAAGACAACAAATGCATGAGTTTTTAGTCAATTATTAAAACAAAAACAGGAAAATTTAATGATATTTCAACTTTAAAATCAATTTATTGTTTTTAACCTAACTCCTAACCATCAAGGGCATTTGCAATTACCAGATGTTGACATTGCCAACTCATCAATCAATTTGCAATGTTAATCTTCTCTCCTGTTGCTATGACAAATGATGTACCCCTAAGATCGAGGCAGAGAAATCTTTTACATAATGCATAAATCAAGGCACTCGACGAAAAAGCCTAACAAATTTGCACAGGTAAACAAAGTCGAACACGAGAAATAAATAAATAAAATTGGGAGCGGTGCCCGGTCCTGGCCCAAGTAAAATGAAAACATTTTTACAAATGCATAATGACAGATAATTTGTGTGGCAAAACTCGTCTCGCACCTTTCACCGGGCAACAACACAGCACAAGAAAAATATATAAAGCGAAATAAAAGTGAGGGAAAATAAAAAGAAAATCGAAACAAAAACGCGAAGCAAACTTTTCTCCCAAGTAATTCTCATGATTTCAACTTTGAACTGAGTCGCTGTCACTTGTTCCAAGTAGAGTCTCTGCCACTTGCTAATTTTTCGTGCCCACCTTCGGAAAAAACTTGAAACTTGTTAGATAGGAAAATTTTCCAGAGGGCCCTGCCATTTCCCTTGGCTTTTCCCCCCTTCGGTTCGTCTTTTGACAGGCTTCAAGTTGAATTCGTCCCGTTTCGACGCTGTGGGACCCTAGGAAGAAAACAAAAAAAAAAAAGAAAATTATGCAAATATGTTACAGTTACGGGCGCATCCCTCTTTTCCCACTGGTTTTCCCCGACCACCCGCACCCACCCCCTCTGACCTGTCTGTTTTCTCTTTGGAAAACTTTTTCCTTGCGTTGGCCTAAAATGTCGTCTTGGCGCCAAAGTTTTTTACTGGCCACCCGCACCCTCCTTTTCCGGACGGTCGGTGCCTTCTTCAAATTTTCCTCTGAGAGTTTCGGTTTCTTTTCGCCTGCAATGATTACAGACGGCAAACTCGAAAGTTGCAAATTAAAGGCTAAAAAGGGGAGAGAAAGAGAGTTGACCACTTCCAGTCAGAGTCCTCGATTAACCTAGTCCTTTAACTTGACAGAGTCCAGAGCGTGTGCATGTGTTCACCTTAATTCAATTTCCCTGTTTTCCCCGCTTCGCATTTACCTGTAATTACCGAGAGCACCGGCAAACAAAGCCAAACAAAAGGCCCTCAATTACAATTGCAATTCCCGGGCGAATGTTTAACCATAAACACGACACCTGTCCACAAATAAATTTTTGGGCGTTGATTTTGGGGCCTGTTTGGGGCTGGGCTGGGGCTTCCGTCGGTGTGGTTAAGCAGAACATCAAATATTCAGAAGGCGAGTGTGGCAACAAAAGCCGTTCGCTCAACTGTTGCCACCCCCGGGGATAATAAAGGAAAATTCTGACTGGAAAATAAAGCAAAATCAGCGAACGTTGCAATGGCCAAAAAGTGTTGCAGTTTGATAATGATTTAAAAGGGGATTACAGTGGGTTTTATTACTTGAGTTTTAAATATATTGTTAAATTGTCTTGGCTGATATTTATGGGTTAAAGTTTGAAAGTTGAGATTTTGTGCAAATAAGTTAAGGTTAAAAAATATTAAGAAACTGGATAAAGGAAAGTATTTTCCCAAAATTAATATATAAATATCATCTCAAGCACTTTTAAATCTATTTAAAAATTTTAAAAGCCAATGCATTTTACAATTATATTTTTAAAAATTATATTAATATTACAAAATAATAATAATAATATTAATGCAACTTTAAACGCATTAAAAGTTGTTTAAAAAATATTAAAATAATAAATTTTTCAAGTAATAATTTTATATTGTCATTAAAATGCTAAGATTATTAGCTTTGACTACTTATAAATTATTATTATATAAACTAATATTTTCTAAAAACTTTATTATCAAATAATATACTAAAAATGTTTAAAATATTTTAATTAAAAATTTTTTATATGCTTCAAATCTCCGATAACTATTCAAATTCTGCCTAAAAGTTATTTTAAATATTTTACAATGCAAGTATCTTTCAAATAGTAATGTTATATTGTTATTAAAATGTCAAAATTATTATCAGCTTTGCAGATTTGACCTCTTAAAAATTATTATTATATAAACACACAATTTTTAAAACACCTAATTACCAGAAAATATACCACAAATATGTAAAATATCTCACATAAAAATATTTTAAGTGCTTAAAATCTCCGATAATAAATTTGTTCAATAAGACAATTTAAATTAGAGAAAAATGCTACCCACCCAAACCACCAAACTATCAGCAACATTGACATCAAGCTATCGGCGACAAATTTATAATTATTTAATGAAACTGAATCGACAACGCAAACAGCAAGGCTACTAGGAAAAACAAGTAAAATGCCGCAACGATATCGCTTGTATATATGCCCGCACATTAGCAGCAACAGCAACTGCCATCGATATTTGGCGAAAACAAAACCAATTACCGCAAAATAATAGAGCGGCTTGAACAATATCTGATCCAAAGCCCACCCGCTTTGATAGGCAGTCTCTCTCTCGATCCGAACAATGCCGAATTTATCAGCTATTATGTGGAAATTAAAGCTCATTCACTAACATTTAGCCTAGTGAGGAGGGTGGTGTGGTATTTGTGTGTGTGCGTGCATTTGTTATTTTAATCATGGCCCAAACAATGCCAGGCAGGCCAATAGTGGGCGTGTCGTGTCTATGGCAATAAACTGTCAATTTTCAATTATGTCTGTGACGTGTGGAAGCCACCTTCAATGCCTCCTGCCGGTGCAAAAAAAAACCCCTCTCCCCATTCCGCTTTTCTGACAGCTCCTGTGCGACATGACACATACACATAGTCGGGCTCACACACGTGTGAAAGCCCCGCAAAATAAGGTCTTCGTATTTGTGGGACAAGCCTGACATTTCGGGGGGATATATGTTACACCCCGATCCTCTCGTTGAAATCGTGCGGTGAGTAATGCTCAATGTCCCATCGGCTTAACCTTGTCCATTTTCCATTGTCCAAAGAGTGCATTGAATACACTTGAAGAAAAGGGGAAAAAGGGTAGAAGAGAGTTAAGATTATATAAGATTAGGGTTTAGTAAATAAAGAAAATCTCTTAACTCTAATATTACTGAAGATTTTAATTGTTTTTAAAATTCACTCAAAAGTATGCAATGAAATGCTTGTGGCACGGAATTCTGAGAAAAGGTACGTTTTAATATTTTGTTTAATAATTTTGACACTTTTTTAAGACAGTTTAAAGCCCCTTTATATTATTTTAGTGTGCATATAAATCATTGTTCACATGATAATAATGAATAAAATTATATTAAAAGTTGATCAATCCAAAATATAATTCATTAATAATTTAATAAGCTTATAACAGGTTTTTGTTTTTATAAAATAAATAAATAAATCTAGCTGTATCTTTAACATATATTTTTTCAAGTCAGAGCTTTAAATATATTTATTTTCTTAAAGAAATAATAATTTAAATCATTAAAATCAAAACGAAATATTTAAATAAATTCACCTCTTACCTCTTTCACTCAATGTTATTTATTTTTAATATTTTAAAAATCTACTTTCCAACCCACTTTTTAATAATAACTACCTTTTACTTTCTGTAACTGTGCAATTGCAAAACCCCACTAAGCTCAAACCAATAACCACGCCCAAACCATAGAGAGACTTGAAGCTTGTGGTCTTCACTTTGCCTTGTGACAGAAAGCCTCTTGGAAATCCATGGGCCATAAATACGAATGCCATGATTATCATATAATAATCGTCAACAGAATAATGGTTAGCACTGTGTGCAAACGAGGGCAGTTCAAGGGTTTAGAGTAATACCAGGAAGGGGATTATTTATGGAGAGGTTTGATAGGTCAGTGTTTTCATCTCTAGAAAGCTTTAAATGTTATATATTTAATTATTTACTAATTTTTTATGTAATAATTTATTTACTTTATTTTTTTCTTAGCTTGGATAAGGTACAGAATTATTTTTTATATGGAATATATAATGTTTCTATTTATAAAATGTTGTAAAGATAAGAAGTAATATTTTTCACATTTTTGATATTTCAGTTCAGTTAGTTTTCTAAATATTTAATTACCTTGTTTAGTATCCTTTATCCTGTCTAAGTTTTCTTCATTTTATTTCATTATTTATAAGCTCCTTGCTCTCAGGCTTTATAATAATTTTCAGGCTTTCTCGCCTCAACATGAGAATAAAACCCCCGTGGCTACCCACGTTGGCCTGTCCGGTCGCTTGGTCCTGCTCCTGACATTCATTAGCTTCAATGGGAAAGTGTTTCATCCGACAAAACCGAGGAGCCGTGAGGAAACAAGGACTTGGACATGGTCATGGACCGGGGGAGGCAGACAATTGCTCCATTCAGGCAGATGAATCGGACACAAAACCGAATCCCGGATCGCTGAAAGGCAAACCCCAGTTTCCCCGCAAATGTTCATGTTTGTGTCATCGGCATTGTTATCCCTGTCATGCTTTATGCCATGTTTACAACCCGATTTTTGTGCTCCCCCCCCGTATGCTGTGCCTCCTCCTTGGATCCCAGCTGCCATGGTGTTCCTGTGTCCGTAGGTCCTTGTGTCTATATGTCTGTGTGTCCGCTGTCGTCAAGTGCAACACTTGCGGCCATCTTGAGCGTATTGAATTATCATCATCATTGGAGCTGTGCCGTTTGTGTAGCCATCCTTCACGGCTATAAGGACACTGAGAGAAAAGGATATTACAAAGGAGATGTATATAAGAATATTACAAATATTTGTTCTTTTAATTTAAAAAAAATAACTTAATATTTTATTAAGATAAACAATTTTCAAGTCATATCCTTTTTATATTTGGTTTTCCTGAA